ATAATTGGGATGGGAGTGTCAGAGACAGTGCAATTGGCACAGGACAGAGCGGAGTTTAGGGCTGTTGTACATAGGGTCGCTATGAGTCGCAGGCAACTCGATGGCACATAACAACAACAACAACAAACACCATTATGAAAAGGGTTAGGTTACCCAGATGCCTGTGCTGTGATGATTCTTATTAGGGAACTGAACTCTCACCGCACTTTTGGGTTTGACTGTAGTAGCTTTACTTTTCCTAAAAGATCTGGTCTCCACATATAAAATAAAGTATAATTCACACACAGTTGTCTAGATTGGACTTCTTATTTATTAGTGTACAGGCTGAGGGACTTACCGTGAAGTCCTGTACTCTGTTTCTAACTAATTCTACCATTTACTTAACTGATATCTTGTACAGTCTTCTTAAATCTCTAAACATGAATTTCCATAACCACAACATGTAGATAGTATTTTTTTAAAGGTGCCCCAGTGACATAATGATGAAGTTCTCAGCTACTAACGAAAAGGTCTGAGCTTCAAACTTGTGGGAGAAGCTTGATTTTCATTCACATTGACCATATAGGACAGAATAGAACTGTCCTGGAGGGTTTCCCGGGCTCTAATCCTTGCAAAGCCACACTACCTCTTATTTCTCCAAGCTGTAGCTGGGTAGTACATGGACGCTGTAACCACTGTATCACCAGGCCACCTCTGCAAACATTTAGAATCTTTGAATCTTTGAAATTGACTCAGTGGCATGGAACAACTTCTTAGCAAACTTAGGTAAGAATTTCCCATTGAATCGTCTGGTCCATACTCTTCTAGCCTAATTTTGCTGTGCCAGATAGATGTGCTGAGTAAAGGCTTCCCTTGCTTTCGTAACTGTGTATCAGAAAACAGTTTAGACTTCTGAGCTTTGTTTTGTTACCAGAAAATATTATTAGAGCAAAGGTGCGAAATAGAATAGTGACTTAAAACTGATTTTGAAATTGATCTTTCAAATGTTTTTATAAACTACCAAAGTAATATAAATAGAGGGTTGTTAAATAATCACTCCATTTTTAAGTAACTAAAGTTAGAAATGCTCCTTTATTGCCTACAAAGAGCCCTGGTGACAGGAATACATTTATGTGTTTTACTGACTTCTGATTAAAAGAAGAGCAGTTGGGATTCACCAGCACCTCTGAAAGAGAAAGATGGGCATCTCCTCTCCTAACACTTGACAGCTTGGGGACCCCAAGGAGGGTCATCATTAAGAGGAGTCACATCAACACCAGTGAGTTTGGTTGTCTTCAGTATCGTTCCTACACTGTCTTGGTTGGAAAGAAAGGCCTCTTGAAAGTTCAAATATTTCTTGTGATTATCCATTTAAAAGGAGCAGATTTGGAGTAACTCATCAGACATCAAAAATAATCCAATCCGCAGGCTCATTCCTAAGGGTCTTGTAATTTTTAGAGTTGATATGTGAAATATTTGAGTTTATTGGTGACAGAGTATAGTCATGTTAAATGCCTGTGCCCACTCTACTCTGTTCTCCGCTGTGCCTGTACGGTGGATAAATAAGTTGTCTCCTATATTCTTAAAGATTCCTCAATAGAATTTTAATGTTTAGTTAATGAGAAAATTTGTTTGCTAAAGTCTCTTTGCCTAATATTTCAGCTTCCTGCTGCATATTGGGTTCTTGGAGATAAATTACCTGTTTTTGTAAAGTTAGAAATAGAGTATTTCTTTTTGTTCCTTTGCCTTTAAAGAATATATATGGCTATTAATGTATCTACATTGTCGGACATGAAAGGATATTTCCTTTCCAGATGATCTCTGGCACAACCTGGACATCACAGCCAAGCTCCCAGTGACAGTGTCCTAGATAGTTACACCCAGAAGGCCTTATTTGTCATAGCTTATTTCACATTGCAGACTTTGTGCAATTGACTTGGTACTTAGATATGGGTAGTTGAAGATTGATTTTAAAAACCGACAAAGCACTGAGTTAGTCTAATGACGCACTTCATAGCTTAGTGGCTTTGTCACTTTACTGGTTTATGACCTAACCAAGTTATTTAACTCCTCTGAGTTTCAGTGTCCTTATCTATAAAACAGGGATCCTTGCTAAAAAGTTTGTGATGGTTATTTGCTTAGGAGGATTTACTTTTTAGTTGCTTCAGTGTCGATGCCCTGTATGGATGTGGGGTACACTGGTATCCCCAGCATCTTAGATGTTGTTCCACATTACCCTCAGGTTCATTCTCAGTGACCCTGTGTGTGGAGCGTAGAACCTCTCTGTAGGATTTTTCAAGGCTGTATTTAATCATTTGGAAACAAAAGTGCCAAGATTGTTTTCTAAGGTCTAGATGAGTTTGAACTGCCACTTTTTCAGCTATTTGTTGAGTATTTAACTTGATTGTTTATAATGGCTGACATTTTGGGTATTGATGTTGTTATTGTTGTTAGATCCATCACGTCAACCATGACTCATAGAGACCCTGTGAACATTTGATCTGAACCTTACCTCATCATGCACCAACGTCATCGTCTCTGACATCTTTGCTTGTTGTTACAGTCACTCTCATCTCATGGAAGGGCTTCCTCTCTCTCTTTAACACTTCGCCTTTCCCAGCCTGGTATCTTTTTCTAAGGATTGGCCCCTTCTGACAGCATGCCCAAAGGATGTGAGTCAAAGTTACACTCTCCTTGCCTCTGAGGAGCACCCTGGTTCCAGTTCCTCTAAGACAGACTTGTATTTTGTTTTGGTACTGCAATTCAAAGGCATAAATTCTCCGATCTTCCTTATTCATTATCCAACTTCCAGATACATAGGAAGCAATTTAATATGCATACCCTGGCTTGAACATTTCATATGCCTGTTATAAATTGTCCCTTGTTCTTTTGTTGTTTACAAAAAGTAAGGAAGAGTAACCAGGTAGAGGAAACAGTATCCTTATGTTGTTGTTGTTAAGTGCCGTGGAGTCGCAGGCGACTCATTGCGACCCTATGAAGGAGAGTCCTCAATGCTTGGGTGTCCTCTCTGCAGGTTCATAGGGTTTCTGGAGGCAAGCTATTATGGAAGTGGATGCCACTCCTCCTTCCAAAGTATGCTTATTGGTATATTAAAATGTGGCATGTTCTCAATTCTGGTTGAACTGAGGCACAGCTGACTCTCCAGGGCATTTGGGAGGCTGTAAATCACATGGGAAGAGATTGCCCATCTTTCTCCTGGAAGCTGCTGGTGAATTTGAACCACAGACAGGTTTATCACCTCTGAGTTAGCAGTACAGCTCCCTAAAGGCTAAGTTACCAGATCTCATTCTAATGTTGGAACTAATTTTCAACGAATATTGGAAAGTGAGCTGAGTATCTAAGGAGGAGGGTAGTTGGAGATAAGGGACTTGGACTTTCATATGACAATAAGCAGAAGTAGAGCTGGGAGGTTTTAAGCAGAAAGATGAGTACGTAGGTAAGTTTATGCTCTGGAAAGAGTGGAATTGACAGTATGGAAAACCGAATACAAGAGTGGTGCATGGAGACCAACGAAAATGATTTTTTGGAAATGTGGATGATACATAACAATGTCTGAGTGAATTGGTAAATATTAAGAGTATTAAGAATTGACAAAACTAAGAGTATGGGATAGAAAAGTGGGATGAACTTTAGGAGACTCCCCAGACTTCCAGATTAAGTCACTTGCTGAGCAAGTGGATGGTTGGTGCTGAGTAATGTAGCAAGAAAAGTCATGAACTGTTTTGTACTTGAATGTATTTTGGCTTCGTATTCAAATATAACCTTTGTTTTCGGATTTATTTTAAAAGATTTAAGAGAATGAAAGAATTCTCTTTATAAAGAGCATTACTGTGTGCTTGAGTGGCCTGATAGGTTTAATTTGAATTTTGAGGTTTAATATGCTAGAAAGAAAGGGGGG